CGTCCTCCACGTTGATGATCTCGATGGCGCGGGCCGGCCCGTGGTGCTTGTGCAGCTGGTGCTGCTTCCTCAGCTTGTAGAAGACCACCAGCATGACGGCGGCCATGAAGGTGATGGCCACGAAGCAGCCGATGATGATCTTGGTGGTCTTCATGACGTCGTCCAGCCCCGACAGGTTCTCCGTCACGTCCGTGATGGGCACGGTGAAGGCCCGCTCCGGGGAGCGCGTGGAGGACGAGGAGGAGGAGGAGGAGGCGGAGACGGAGGAGGAAGGGGTGGCGAAGGTGGGGGCCATGCCCGCCCAGGAGGTGGGGGCCGGCTGCCCCACGTAGGTCTCGTTGATGTCCTGCCGGGCCGAGTTCTCCTCCTGCGCGCCGCTCTCCACGGTCTCCACCGTCACCGTGGTGAAGTAGCTGTAGTTGTTGGTGGAGTCGGCCGCCGAGACGTTGAGGACCGCGGTGGCCGTGGTGTTGCCGGCCGAGTTGGTCACCATGCAGGTGTACTGGCCCGTGTCCTGCACCGTCACGTTGGTGAAGTTGAGGGTGCCGTCGTGCAGCACGGAGATCCGCACCCGGTAGGAGCCGTGGGTCATCAGGGTGCCGTTGGGCGTCAGCCAGTTGACCGAGGTCATGGAGGTGCCCGTCCGGCACTTCAGCTCCGCCGCCATGCCCTCGGTGACGTTCAGGTCGGTGGGCGGCTCCACGATCACGGGGGCGTAGCAGGTGAAGTGGCTCTGGTCCAGCTCCCCGATGTAGCGCCCCTTCAGGACGGGGGGGGCGTGGCAGCGGGCGCAGCAGGTGGTGTTGCTGGGCACGGTCTCCTTCAGCCACCAGCTGAGCCACAGCACGTCGCAGTTGCACACCCAGGGGTTGTGGTTGAGGTGCACGCGCTCCAGCCGGTGCAGGGGGGTGAAGAGGTCGTGGGGCAGGGAGTGCAGGGAGTTGTGGGACAGGTTCAGCTCCTCCAGGTTCTTGAGGTCGTCGAAGGCGTTGCGCTCGATGACCGACACCTGCGCGTGCATGAGCCACAGCTTGCGCAGCGACACCAGGCCCTGGAACGAGCCGGGCCGGATGATCTCCAGCCGGTTGCCGGACAGCTCCAGCTCCTCCAGGCGGATCAGGGGCGTCAGGTTGGGGATGTCCTTCAGCCCGCACATCCCCAGGTTCAGGTAGCGCAGGTTGATGAGCCCCTCGAAGGCGGCCTCGGAGATGTAGTCCAGCTTCTTGAGCTCGCCCAGGTCCAGGCGCCGCAGGGACGGCACCCTGTGGAAGGCGTAGCCCGGCAGGGTCTCGATGGGGTTGTTGCGGAGCCAGAGCTCCCGGAGCTTGCTGAGGTACTCGAAGGCCTGGGAGGGGACCAGGGTGAGCCGGTTGTCGAAGAGCTCCAGGGTGTTGAGGTTGGGCAGGCCGTTGAAGGCCCCCACCTCGATCTGGCGGATGTGGTTCTTGGAGAGCTGCAGGATCTCCAGGTGACGGAGGTGCTTGAAGGTGTCGGACTTGATCACCTGAGAGGCAGGAGGGAGGGGAGAGAGGGAGGTTAAAAGGGCAGG